CAGTAAAAATATCTGTTGGAATGTTAAGTAGCATACAGTAGGTTCCTTACATTCTGAAATGGAAATGTATTTGCAAGCCGTTGTATTGAAAAACTGACTGAAATGGCCCAAGTGCTATTGTACAAGATGCATGAAGTCTAAAATTGGAGGCATTCTGGAAAGCAATAGCTCAGATCTAGGTTTTTAAAAGGTTTGCAAGGGATATGCATTTAATACACACAAAACCTGTACATAGTAAATCATATTGAGGAAATACTATTACCAAGGGGTCAGATTGAAGTTAGTTATAGGAGCAATTGATTTGCTATTTAGAACCAAAAGCAAACACTCACTTTTTTTAAGGTCACCTCAAATGTTTTATCAGCACAAAAGATGCAAGTGGGAGAGAGACACTTGGTCAATAACTGTCAAAATCCTGAAGATGTCAAATGAAGTAACTGCAAGAACTACTTTTGAGAATTAATGGACATTTCATAAAGACACTGAGATCCATAACAAATAAGCAGAAAAGGAATTCTCATCTGTTAGTGTACTTTTGTCTATGTTATTTTCATTTTTATTGACATAGGTTTCCTAGGAATAAAAATTGCTGAGGCATCTTTGAAGGAAACCAGTGAACTTGGCACTTGCCAGGGGACTCCTTTAACCTTGACGAACATCTTATGCAGTTCATACCAGAGTACCCAAAAACTACTGTGCTTTCTTTTGTCTCAGAAGTAGATGAGTAGACATAGGCTTCTCCGTTGAGTTCAGGGCCGTAGAAGTCAAGCCTCTTTCTTCCCCTCTCAAATTTAACAGTCCTATCCATTCTTCTGGAACGTGGAAGACTTGGCCCCATGGCAGGCATAATGAAAATTTCAAAACAAGACTTGATCCATGTTTCTTACCTGAGTCAAAGTCATCCCATAAAAATTCTTTCATTTCCTAATATCATACCGACTGGACCAAAGTCTGGCTTACTCACATAAAAGGATAAAGCTGTATAATTCTGCCATAATCAACACATAATTTACTAAGTATAAGAAATGAAACAGATCCATTCTGACTCCCTTATGGATCAGCATACACATGGGGCTGTTGGGAAAAGATGATGCTGCTTTTATTACACAGCATGTTACTTGTTGTAACACAGCAAACTAATTAGATATTACGGGGGGGGGGGGGGGAATCACTGTTAAGAACTGCCAAACACTGGAACAGGTTGCCCAATGAGGGTGCAGGATCTCCATCCTTGTATATATCCAAAACTTCCCAGGACAAGGTGCTGACGAATGCAACTTAGTGACTCAGTTTGAATAGGGGGGGTTGAAAAAAATGACCTCCAGAGGTCCCTTGCAACCTATGCCTTGGCACTTACTTTGTCATACCTGTCTGTCCATGTGCTGTTGGTTGCCTGTCCAAGTGCTATTGGTGGCTTAGGGATTTGGGTATGGAAGAGAGATAGCCGACTGACAGCCTGCGTAGGATTGATGAGACATTCACAGGAAGAGAGAGTCAGCAATTCTGTTTTTATCATATCATATCATGATATACCACCCATATTTGGATAGGGGAACTAAGTCTACTGTTTTTAGAGACTTTATTTCACAGGCCCATGGTCTTTTACGATAAGGTACTTATATCCTGAAATTCAATCAACCCCACTTTACAACACCCCTTTTTGTTCCTACCCCAAATGCTACTTCTGGGATAGATCTTTTTATTTCATGCCTTGCTCTCACAGCTGCACTGGGAGAAGCAGCAAATTATATGACCTCTCAAAGAGAAGAAGTTGGCTGAAGATAAATGCTCAAAATTAGTTTTCTCTTTAATAGATTTCCCCATGTGAGTGAAGTAGTCCATTTATTGGGGGCAGGGAGAAGACTTCCAAAAGAAGCCAGGTGTGGATGGTCAGTCTGGTGTCTTATAAACACTTCACTGAATTTGGGTGCAAGACAGGAGGGAAGCTGCCCAGGAATTTACTGGGAAAAAAAAAAAAAATCCATCGAAATATGTCTCTTAAAAACAAAAAAAACCCAACTCTACCAATGATTTCTTCCAAATTTTTAATACAGCAATTTGAAAGTGATTGCTATATGCATTATTGTGTCTACACGTTATGCATCTATACACAGTGCTCGGAGAAGTTCAACATGCATTAGCAAAACTTGTAGAAGGAGGAAGAGATTAAAGGCCTCCTTCAACAGTATTTTCATTAAAAGATGAAGCAAAAATACTAATTGTCTGATCACATCTGTTCCTTGTTGATTTCAGAAACATGACAAAAGACACAAAGTCATCTCCATGGTGACTGTTAAAGCTGGCAATAAAATCACTGAAGATGCAGGCAATGATATTTAATCTGACATTTATACCATTCACTGAAAACATTGTTTAACAATCAAAAATAAGACAGGCTTTGAAATTTGGTAAGAAGAAAAAAAAAAGAAAAAAAAAAAGACTCCTGATTTCTCATGTTAGATATCAGCTGGTGACACTTGAGCCCTAAAATCTCCTATGCCCATTCACTTTCCTCATTACGTCTTACATGTTATTTTCCCACCAAACTTCCCACTGCAGATGTGAAGGATAAAAGTTGACCGAGAAAAGGTGAATGCACTGAAATAATTAAAAAAAAAAAAAAAAAAGAAGAAATTAGAATAAGGAATACCAAGAAAAAGTAGAATTTACTGGGTTTTTTTATGCCCTATCCTGATGACCAAGAAAGAACTGATAGGAAGCATCTCCCTTGGCAAAGGGAGAACACAACTGAGCTAAGATAACGAATGTCAGTATTCACAGTTTGAAGTCACTTTCTCACAGAAGAAACATTCCTGTCTGGATTTGCAATGGAGAAGTGTTTTTGCACTCCAGCATGCTTTATTAACTTGAATTTGGAGGGAAGGGGGAAAGAAGGTTAATGCTGTGTTAATGCTATAGACTGCAAGATACCTACCATCTTACCACTACCACTAGAAATCTGGATTTCCAACTGAAGCATACCATTCTCAGCTTCCTTAAAAACTACAACTACACATTGTTATTCATAGCGAAACAACATCATTTTAAGTCTTACTGACCAGCAATTCTCAAACTAAAAAGCACAGAAATCTCCAGGACATACTTTGCTACCACCAGCTTGTATCCTTTCTGCTCACTAGCACCATTATGGTTTCCAAATGTTAGAAGTGGGATTACCTGCACAAAACTGTTCAAGACGACTCAGCTTCTCAACAAAGGTACAACAAGGAACAGCAGCAAATCAAAGCCCCCAGAAACTATTTGGATGTTTTTGCTCTGCACAGCACACAAAATGCAGAGTAATTTCTATCCCTACCCTGAAGGACATTGTAATCCTCCAAGCCCAAAATTCACAGACCCTGCTCCTACCTCTGTTCATTCAATCTTTAAAGACATTCACTTCCAGTCCTGTTGCATACATTTATTTGTACATGCATAGTATGCTCTCCTCTTGCATACAAAGCTGGTAGGAAAGAGAGGTGAGTACATGGAATTGTGAGCATCTCCTCAGGTACCTAAGCACATTCCTGCAAAAGCATATAATTACAGAATAAATACTTACATATTCAGCATCCACAAGAGACAGAGAGAGGAAGGGGAGTATCATCTAAAGGTTGATTACTACTGCACTCTTAGCTGAACATGCTTTATTCTTTCAGCCTTGCTTTCTGCAAGAAAACCTGTCAAAGTTCTTTTCCTCTACAGAAAGAGAACTGCTCATTCAACAGACAGTTTTTATGAATTTGGTAACATCCCATAGATTATTAATTGAACCACAGTGTATGAATATAGCACATACTTAGGAGATCTGAACACTGACTTAAAGATTTCCTCCATCCTCCCGTTTTTTCTATAAGAGTGACATCTGTAATGAGCAATTAGAATTTTTTATACATGAACAACTGACTGTTCAAAGCCAGATAACCTTAACCATATACTTCGGTTTTTCTTTTCCCGCAGAGCTGCATGTAAAAATAAATACAAAATCAATAAAAAATGTCAGACTGTCTTTCTAATTTATGGTCAATACAAAGCAATTTTGAAACTGTTCAAGCTTCAGAAAGATAAATCAAACATAATTCATGACATTGTGAGTTTGGAGAAAAAGATTTTGGAGACTTATTTAATACTGTTGCTAGTTGTAAATATTCTGCCTTAAACAGCTGATCCAAGGCATACTCAGAACCAAGGTTCTTCCAGTCTAGCATTTTAAACACCGTATGAAGCCTTACTGTTGTACTGCAAAGACTCAAACACCAACATTCCCTATCAGCACTACCAGATTTGCCATAAGAAATAAGCCTACATTTGAAAAAGACAATATTTTAATGTTTATAAATTATACTGACAGACAGTAATCGTCCATACATTTTGCTCATCTTGCACAAGATCTCCACTGTCAAAAGTAACTACTGAAAAATGCTCTTACAATATGAATTTACTACCCCATTCCTTGTATTTTCCCCTCCATGGGTGAAAATAAGCACAAGGTAAATTAAAACTATACAAATTAGAGGCAAAAACCAACTGTGTTTCTTGGACATAAATTATTCCATTCACTACAGCACAACTACTCATAGCCTGCAGACTGTTACTTAAATGCAATGTTTTTCTTATTCTGAACAGCACTTTTATTAAGTGAAATGGAAATCAAAAGCAAGACGCTGGGGAATAGGGCCACAGTCACAAGCTTTAAAGCAAGTAAAATTCAGAAAAGCGTAAGGACAGACTACCAGAAGTCTTACTGAACACAGGAAAAACTCAGTTTTGTTTTGGTTCCCTTTCAGAGAGCCACTATCCTTAACAGGTCAAAGCTCACTTAAGTCAACCCACCCACTGAATCCTCCAGATACTTGATGGGACTATCTATCCTTACACATCTTCCATTACCTCTAGCTAGCCTGTCACATGTTTTATACTAGTCCCAAACTCTCAAAACAATAACTCACAAACCTTACCTAAAAAGATTAACAGCAAAATTAAGAAATAAATGTGCTTACTGTTCTTGAATCAGAGAAAGGATTGTACTCATCTAGCCCTGGAGGAACATTTCTTGTCACTTGTGTAACAGAAGGATCCTAGAAGAGAAAACAGTTCTGTCAATGTATGCACATGTATATAAAGCAACAAGTCAACATTTATATGATATAAAACTCAGCTTTTGCTTCAATCTAAAAAAAAAAAGGTTTGTTCTCACTAAAAAAGCCTGTAAACATACACCTCGTTCTCTGTCTCCAAAATGACATCATTCCATTCTGAGCTTCTCATAAACCTAGATTAACACAGTCTAAAAGGAACCCCATCTGTCATACGTTTGATTTATAAGGAAAAAAAGCTTTCAATAGAGAAGGGAAGAAAACTGTATCCTGCTATGTTGACCACTGGACTCCACAACTATACACCCAAAAAGCACAACAGAAGAAAAGAGCTTTCTGTAACTCTTGGTTTTCCCCATGCAGAAGTACCTCCAACATCTTCAGGAATAGGAAAAGCATTTCCCAAAAATGAAGCTGAGGAAACAGTGTCCCATAATGCCAAAAGCACCTCTGGTTCACCTTCTACCCAAACTGGTAGAATTAAGAAAAAAATGTAATTTTTTTCCTCCAGTGAACTATACAGTAAGAAAGACTGCTTGAGGTTTAGCTCAAGAAAGCTACTTCAGGAATTCTCTCTGCTAGAGACAGGGAGGCTTTGTTCTGCAGAATAACAGAAGTGCCCACTACCATAGCCCACACTAACTTCATATGAAGAAAAATTTCACTTATTCCATGTGATGTCGGGTTCCACTACATTGTTTCTGTGCCTTAATTTAATGTTTTTGCATCTTCAGAACATAAGAATGGATGAAAGGAAAGTTTTCTTGAAAATCAATAAATCCATGTATTCAATATGGATAGTTACATTTATATTTACATAAATGCACAAAACAAGTGTACGATATTTTATATGCACATCAAATATACAAAATAACTGTAAATATACTACTTATTTATAACTTATGTATAAATTTACTTATTTTCTTAATTTCAACATTCTAGTTCAACATTAGAAAACAAACTGGAGTTGATAAAGACTGGGAAGGTGGTAAGTATTTGCATTTATATACATTTACATTCATATTTCCTTTAAAGACAGCTACATTTAAAACTTCTACATGAAATATTTGTCTGATTTTTTTAAAAAATACAGTTAAGTGACTTAATCTACACTTAAGTAAACATACAAACTATTAAGCTACTGAAAAATAAAATCTAGATTCTTAGGATTAGCATCTATATTACAGCATTAGCTTAGTCTTGGCAGCAGTAACTTAATCTACAGATGCAGGAACAGTATTTTCTTAATGGCTGCACTCAACTTATTTACAGCCAGAAAAAAAAACCCCAAAAAACCAAAAATGAGGGCAGCGTACCAATCAACTCTAAAATCCTGATGGATACAGCAAATGAGAGTAAGTCTGGTTTTTCCACTAGCTACAGTCACATATTTATTAATATGAGGCAATTAAAATTTTTTTACTCTAAAAAAGGTTTAAGACAAGAAAATTATTGCTTCAGAAATTAAAAAATTGTATGTTGCATATTTTAATCAAATTTATATGCATAAGCATACATAAAAACTACCTTTCTCATCACATCAGATGCTACCACTTTTGGCTAAAGCATACATTTAGCTGCAAAGCACTATTTTAATGGTGACTGAAAAAGACTCACCCTTTCTATAAATATTGCATGCAATTCAAAATCAGCTTTCCTCTTTGACTTACACCATAATTAGTGATTTCAATAAAGCCACCCTGGTGACAGTCTCCCCCATGTTTCCCATGTTTTTTAGTTACCATCCTGGAATTGAATACACTGTTCCAACTAAAAGCTCATCAGGTCTTGCGTGAGCTGATGGACTAATTCACTGTAACATGTTCTTTCATCAAATGACTGGCACAAAATATTTTGCAGAAGAACAAAAAAAACAAGGGAAAGTATATGTGTGGGGAGAATGTTGTCAAAATTCAACTACAAATCATTTGAAACATTGAATAAAAAGATCATAAAAATAAGGGAAGAATTAAATCTGACGTTTGAATTAGGCATTAGTTTAGTAGACTTGTCAGTACAAGATCAAAAAAGATGAAGTTAAAAACGAAGTTAATAACACAATTTCATAATTCAATATACAGGATGGCAGAAAGTTGTATACACAGCTGAAAACTTTTAACTTATTGTAGTGGGTCCACCCTAGCCAGCAGGTAGGCCCCCACCTAGGTGCTTGCTCACTGCCCTCCCCAGTGGATAGGGGAGAGAATCAGAAAGGCAAAAGCAAGTAAAACTTGTGGGTGTTGAGAAAAAGGCAGATTAATAAGGGGGGAGGAGAGGTAGAGGTAAAAAAAGAATAAAAGGCCACAAAACCCCACAAGCGATGCAAAGGCAATCACTCACCACTCCCACCAGCGGACAGATGCCCAGCCAGCCTCTGAGCAATGGTTACCTTGGAACATCCCCACCACCACGACCAGCACCACCAATGTTATTGCCGAGCGTGATGCTATACAGTAAGGAATACCTCTTTGGTCAGTTGGGGTCCGCTGTCCTGCCTGCATCCCCTCCCAACCTCTTGCCCTACCCCAGCCTACTCCCAGGGGGAAGCAGAGTCCAAAACAGAGAAGGCTTTGCTTGATGCTGTGCAAGCACTGTTCAGCAACAGCTAAAACACTGGTGCCTTACCACCACTGCTGTGGTCACAAATCGGAAACACAGCACCACAGGGACTGCTGTGAAAAAAATTAACTCCATCTCTGCCAGACCCAGTACGCTTATTCTAGCCTTTACACATTAGTGCAAATTAGCAGACCATAAAACACTGTTCTTTGTTCACGCTTTCAGTATGGTACCCCTTCCAGAAATCCTCTCATACCATTCCCTCTTCCACACATAAAAATGTTCAAGTATAGACACATATGAAACTAGTGATAGCTAACCATCAGCCACATAGTGAAATGGTATGTCTACGTTACTAAAACTCAAATAGCACTTAGTACTTTTAAGTTATATCAGCTGCTTAAAAAGTGTATTTCCGCACTAAACTTCTGTGTTTGAAGAGTGCACGATTGTGCCTGCAAAGGACAATAAATGCCATTATTTGAATAACTAGTGTTATCAGACTCATGAGACAGCCACTGAACAGCAGCAGATTTCCAAAAAGCAGGAGTGAGTGGTCAAGTCAAATTCAGAAGAGCAATCTATACTTAGAAATACAATATGCAAACAATAATAAATATCTGATGAAGAAAGACTTTTTTCTCTGAGTGTTTTAGAGAAGACCAAGGGGGAAAAAGTTTCTCAGATCTCTTCACAAAGCTATTGTGACATTCTAACACTGACAAATGACAGGGAATGTATGTTGAGCCAAACAAGCTTACTACGTCAGAAGTCTTACTACTAGAAAGAAGTTGTATGCTTAAATACGTACAGTGAGTAGAGCAAGAAGCTCTCCATCAGAAGCCCATTCTCATTTTGAATTACCAATTGCTATACGTCTGCCAAATATTGCTATTGTTTGCAAAGGTAGCAGCAGCAGCTCTGAAAAAAACCTGACTCAGAGGACACTCATTATCAGCTCTATTTAAGAAAACTTTCATTACCCAGAGGGAAAAAAAACCCCACCAATTATAGTTGTACTGAAATACACAAATTGAACCCCACCATGGCAAGTAGCATTCAAATTCTGCTCTCAGAAAACCTGAATTACACAGTCGGGACTTCAACAGAAGTCCATGGCCTCGTCTCTTCCACAAGCAGCAAGACTCAAGAACTAAACCAGAGATCACAGGAAAAGAAGAGAAACCTCAGAGTTGAAGGAGGCAAGCACTAGCCTGGAGATCTGTACCTCTCCTATACCCATCCACTGCAATCTTCTCTAATGCTACAGCTGTCCTCAGCATGGAAAGAAACAAGCTCTTCATAGTCTGTGTGCCCAGGTGTAGGCTGCTAGACTTCAAACTGGTCTGCATACCTACAGTGCATCGAACAACTGACACCAACAGGAGCTGCACTTCATGTTTCAAAACACTACTTACAGCATTTCTGAAGAGATTAGACCTGACATTCCAAAGAATTACTTTGAATCATTTACCTTACACTCATTGCATCTCATTTTAAATATGCAGCAAATGCCAACTTGTTTAAACAGTGAGAAAAACTGTGAAGCACTCAGAATGCTGCAGAATAATAAAACAGTGAATTCAGAAGTTAATTGGGGTTTGAATAATGAATACGAACAATAAATGTCATGCAGGACCACACACTCAAAGAAAGAGTGACATTTATATGAATGCTATCAAATTTCTATGTTGCATGACATATTCTAGTGGTTAAAACAGTGAAAACTTTAATATTCTATAGGTGTAAGTCAATCTAGGCTGGCATAACTTGTGTTTCCATATTTGGTATTCCACCCAGATAATAAAGTTAAATGCATTAATTTTTAGTTATTTTTGTTTTTTAATGTTAAGATACAGAAAAAAGCCATAAAGACAAGTTCCAACAGTTGATAATATACAGACACCAAGACAAAGCAGCAGCATGGCTGGAACCATCAAATATCCAGAGACCTCAACTTGCTGCATGATTTAAGTGATTAAAAATTGGGTTACCCTCTGCAAATAGAGAAGATTGGGAATTTCTGGGACAGACTTTAAATATCTGACGTCATCCACTGAATGCAGCAACTGCAAAATGCCCTGTCCAATCTCAGGCTGAGAAAGCTATGTCACAGTGGACCAGTACTTCTGCCTGAATTGGACCTGCCCTTGCACTAACTCCTTGCCACAACCTGATTTTACTCAGTGACCCAGCCAGTCCCAGTCCCTGCTCCTCTGAGGGCTGATCCCTGTAATTCTCATCTTGTCCAACTCCTTGTTCCCTCCTTCCAATTCACACTTCCTTCTCTAGCCTAATCTCACCCAAACTCCTGCCAGTTCAGCCCCCTGCGTTTCTGACCTTTTTATTTAACTATTAGTGATACCAACCATGGAAGAGGATTTAAGAAGAGGCCATTTTTCGTACCTAGGTACTGTGGCTAT